TTTCATCCTGATCATTTATGTATACATTTGTCTATATCTATCTCGATTCGTTTTGCCTGTTACAAACAACCGTTATGTGAACAAAGTTATAATACCCTTGTGCGCAATTGCGCTCGGGTATAAAAACTAAAACCTCCCTATTATAGTTCGTACTGTCATCAGGTATGTAACTTGGGAATAGAAATCGCTGCATCTTTTAGGCGCATCAATATTACATAGTTACATCCCGAGTTAATAAAAGGAAGGTAAAAAGATATAAATTATCTCAACCAAAACTTCTGCGGCAACCACAAAAATGCAGTTGCCAATATAGCAACTCGGCTGCCTGCTTTCAGTTGCCAGTTGCCATCGGTAATACCATTTAGGCCACTGGACACCCAACTGAAGTTCGGTTGCAATCCGTAATCGATCCATAAATTTAAGAGCTACGTTACATGAACTCTTACTCTCTTTTCGTTTACACTTGCCACAGAGTTGTCTTGGCTTTAGTTTATCGAGATTGTTGAGTGAAATGTTAGGAAAGATTTATCAGAAATGTGTCAACGAATTTCTATACAAATTTTGGCAGCTGATTTAAGTTTACACAATTATCGCCCCTATTGCGAGTGTCGACTAGCAGTAGATAAACGAATATTATTCGATTATCGCTTTTCCATGGTATTGTGAATATCGATTTCTCGCTCAATAAGCGACTGTGAATAGTTTTTAGTCGCTCATCCTTCTTCAACTGTTTATTTGTAAAATGATGAGCGCCTATAATTTATTCATACTGACTTACTGAACGAGACAACGACGTTGACAATACCATGGAAAAGCGATTATCGAATAATAGGCGTTTATCTACTACCAGTCGACACTCGCAATAGGGGTGTATAAGTTTATACCAAGGCATATTGAACAGGTAGCTGTGCTAATATTTAAAATAATTTGTCTGTTCCTTTGATCTGCGGACTATAACCTGTGCAACTGTCAAACTACAATTTTACTCTCTCAAGTGAGAGTAAAAGGAGAACAGATGCAGAAATGCACGGGAACGAAAAAATCACTATTTCCTGTAAAAACGTCAGTCGGTTTGTTTACATGTCATTTGTACAACACTGATTTGGCTGAAATATCTATAACCACATATTAAAATCTATACATACTCAAATATTTCGTTGTTTACTTCCATTTTTTTACAAATATAAGGTTCTTTGCTTACACCGCTTTCTGCTTTTGTTTGCACATGCAAATCAGCTGATCGATTGACACTTTTCACGAACTTACAGGAAAAAAACTCCGGACTAAATCCTGTAACTTCTGACTAGGAACAGTTGCTCAGTTACTCTCTCAAATGTGTTCCCACTTACAGGTTTTATGTCAATAGGATCGACTTCCTGTAAGTTCTGACCAAATCCTGTAAACCGGACTGCTATTGGAACAAACTAAATATTAGTGGTATTCATCTAAACCGATAACTTTATTAAGCAGATATTCTTATAAATTTAAGAGCTACGTTATATGAACCCATACTCTCTTTTCGTTTACACTTGCGACAGAGTTGCCTTGGCTTTAGTTTATCAAGATTATTGAGTGAAATCGTTGGAAAGATTTATCAGAAATGTGGCAACGAGTTTCCATAAAAATTTTGACAGTTGATTTAAGTTTACACAATTATAAGTTTATACCATGATACAAATATTTATAAGGTACAATCGCTGTGAGCCAACTTTAGGAATTTTGACGTTTGCTAGCATTTTTGAAAATTTCTCTCGCCGTAATTTCATTTGTTTGTTTTTACTTTCAATCGACCTAAAGAATTATATTTCAGCCGAAACAACAAAATTTGAATGTACGGGTGCGTTCAGAAATGTATCAAGCCAAAGCATCAGTCCCTGTTATTTCTAAACTATAACTGACGGAAATGTCAAATATGCGCAACCACGTTTAAAAACTGAATTTGAACTTAATTGCGTATATAAGACATTTCCATCAATAATAGTTTAGAAATAAAAGATACTGATGCTTTGGCTTGATGCATTTCTGAACGCACCCTACATACATATATACATATATGTATATGCACATACATATTGTCGCCTGGGTAAAAGATTGTCCAGATTGTCCTAAGCGTCATACGTACGTGCGTAACATACGACAATCTTTTACCCAGGCGACGATATGTAAACAAATAAATGTAAGCAATTGTGCATCATGGTAATGAGCTTCTGCCCCCATGTTAAGGCGAAGACTTTGGCATACATTTAAACAAATTTAAGCTTAAACGCACTACACTTTTGCACAGAACTGCCTTGGGGCAAGTGGTGTGACAAAAAATGTGCATGGCACTTTGGAAAATCCGCTTATGTAACACCACCCTGCAAAACTGGAATGACCGAAACTACAATACACTTACACAAATTTTTGATTGCCACTAATACATAAATAGTACGTGTGAGAATTCGCTATGAAAAAATCTCAGAATGAAACAACATACAATTTTTCAATTTGTTTTAATATATCTTACCCTCTCCCACATATTGCCTACATAGGGATGGTGATTTTGATAAAAGAAAAATGAACAAAACAAACCAAACAGTGTTGCCCAAACGGTCAAACGGTTGTCAAGCGGTCAGCCATTTTTATTAGAGTTGGCTTCAGCGGTGGAAAAAATAAGAGATTTGTACGGTTTTTGTGCCAAAATAGTTATTTGCAGGTGAGTACTGTATTATCAAATTAAAAATGAAAAGGGGTACTTACAGGTCTATTCTGCGCTGGTAACATAAATTTTGTAACCGGTAATTAAAGTGTCTGTCAATTTTTAAACTTTTTCGCATTCTGTACTCTCTTGTAACCGGTAAATTTGGTTACCATCTCATAAGCTAGTAACAAAATATTGCCCCGTGAAATATGCAATACAGGAATTTCCACAAATCTTCATAGGTGAATTGCTGAATATTTTCACTGCATTACCAACGTACCTAGAATCGCGGTGACAAGAACTGGTAACATTTTTTGGTAATAAAATTTTCCGGTTACAAAATCATCGATAACGTGCTGAATAGACCTGTTATTATAATCAGCTAAGTGCAGAAAAGCAAGAATGTGAAAAAAGTGCGGTTAAATATAAGAAGCTGCCCCAATTTGCGGAATCAGATTTGGGAGAATGCAGTGCCACCGCCAATGCTCTAGATTTTGGCGCGGAAAGTCCATTTTCATTTTCCAACTCTGAAAGTGCGTCGGAAAATGAATTCACCGAAATATCAAGTGAAGAAAAATGCAAGGAAATAAAGTTGTGGGCAATCCAAAATAATATCTCGCAGGCATCGTTGAGTTCCTTGCTTTGTGTTCTTCGAAAAATCGGTGTTAATGATTTGCCATTGTCCGCGAAAACTCTTTTCCAAAAAAAAAAAAAAAAAAAAACACAAATACGGACCATTTGTGGAGGAGAGTTTATGTATATTGGAATTCAAAAGTGTTTTGAATCTGATTCTTTTCCGTTTTTAAAAGAAAATGGCGAAATTTTAATAGATGTTGGAATTGATGAATTAAAGTTATTTAAAAGTTCCAACAAAGCTTTATGGCCGATCCTTGGTTCAATTGTCGGATTCCCAAATGAAAATCCGTTTACTATTGCCTGTTTCTCAGGAAAACAAAAGCCTAATAACGTAGATGATTTTATGAAAGAATTTTGTGATGAAGTGGTTTATTTGAGACAAAATGGCTTGAAAGTTGGTCCAGAAAACCCCACTATAAAAAGATTTAATGTACGATTGTTTATTTGCGATTCTCCAGCTCGTACTTTTGTGACCGGCGTTCAAAGTCACAACGGTAAAAATAGCTGCCCAAAATGTTCTCAAATAGGCAGGTATTCAAATAAAAGAGTCTGCTTTTCTAAGGAAATAATTGATTTAAGGACAAACATCTCGTTTAAAAATAAAGTAGATCAAGCCCATCATAATAAACAATTTTTGAATCGAGAAAGTGTATTAGAAGCAGCCGATTTCGGTATGGTTTCTCAATTTCCGCTAGATCCGATGCATCTCGTTGATTTGGGAGTGATCAAAAAACGACTGCATCTATTGATGAAAAGCGGAAACCTGCGTCAAATGAATGAAAAGTTTAACCACGTTTCCGCTTGGGTGCCAGCTTAATTCGGAAGAGTGTGCAGGAATTTGGATGATATTGGAAATTGGAAATCTACAGAATACAGGCAATTTTTGTTTTATACGGCAATATTCATTTTCAAAAGTTGCGTTGATGACGATCGGTTTTATAATTTTATTTTATTGCATACCAGTATACGCGTTCTCTCCTGTGAAAGGTCCTACAAAACAGAAACGAATGTAGTTCAACAATTGTTGCTAGACTTTATTAATCTATTTGATAGTATATACGGAGATCATTTAATAAGTTTTAATATTCACGGTTTGCTTCACTTATCTGATATCGCTAAAGAAGTTGGGCCCCTTGATTCTTTTTCGGCCTATAAATTTGAAAACATTATGCAACACATGAAAAAAGCTATAAAAAGTCCCACTAATATTTTACAATTGTTTTTAAGACTTGAAGAACGAAAACATTTACATGAAGAAAAAATAAATAAAAATCGAGTCATTTGTAATTAATTCAAAAAAAGAAAACGACTCATTTAGTTTTAGCGAACTACAGGGCCTTTTAAAGTTACTGAATCACTTATAGAATCTGGAGAAGAATTAGTTATTGGGTATAATATTAATAAATTATTGAATTACTTTGATGCACCTCTTTAATCTTTTTCTGGACTTGGTATTTTGATTGCAAGTGAACTTAATAATGAAAAAATAAAAATTTCGAAAAGTCAAATTGAGAAAAAATATTTTTGTATACCTGTTGACAATAACTATCTTTTAATCCCGATTTTACATCACCTCTTTCACGAGTTTGCAAACTAGTTGTATTATATAAACCAGTTAATATAATAAATAAATTGCATCGTATACTACTAAATATTATATTTTATTTTTTCAGTGCCTCTCATACATGGGTTTATTTTTAAGAAAATGGACCACATGGGCACTGAGGACTTATTTGGGGAATCTCCTCCGGCCACATCTACACCGAAGGGAGGAATAAGAAAACAAATTTTTCTATCAACTGATTTCAACTCACAATGTAAATTAAGATTCAAATGAAGTACAAATACGTATGTTAATTTTTAAATTAATCACTACTTTTAGTATTAAATTCGCAGCCAAGCTAATGTGCCTCAATCGCTCTCAATTCGACGACGGCTTCTAGCTCTAATAAAGGTAAATACATATTAAAACACGTCTTAAAACATTGTATTGAAACTCTTTATTGTTACAGAAATATTGGGCATGTTGGGGCTTATATTTCAAAAGCAATGTAGCTTGGAATCACGATTAGACAGGCTGGGAGAAAACGTAATTTATTATTTTACACTTTTGCATATCCTATGTTTTTAATTGAAGTTATCTTTTTATATATGTATGTACATACGTATGTCTTTCAGATGGTTCCGAAAACTGACGTCTTGGTTCACCATAAGACTTTAAGGGAGTCGAAAGTCCTCGCCAAAAAGGCCCACCACATAATATGTAAAATTAGTGGTGAGACGGGAGATGACCTTCATACCGAGCTGGCGGGCATTATGCCCCTCATGTCCATTGATGCAGTTTTCGATGTCGATGAGAAGCTTCAAGACAAAATTTACGAGGACGCAATTGTAAGTATTAATTCACCTATTTATTGATACTTTTACATGTACATATTTATTCTTTAAAACGACAATTGTGTTTCCAGACTTCTTACTTGTTTTTGCTGAAAGGAACTAGCGTGGATATTGATGCTGTCGTGAGGCGAATATTCAGCGACGAGGTGCTGCAGTTTTTTAACTGGGATGGGAGATGCGGTAAAAAGGCCCTGTCTAAACTTAAGATTGTCGACACGGTGCTTTTTGGTAATGTTTGTTATTAAATTCTAATTGAACAACATTTAATTTCGCTTGTATTTTTACTTTGGCAGATACTACTACGAAGTCGTCTACCCTTTCAAACTTGTAACTGTCGACAGTGACGTGGGTGCCATGGCGAGAATGTGCTGCCTGTTTGTTTGATAACAGGAGATACTTCGTCTATATTTCATTAACTTAACTTTGTTATTGCGTTTTTTATATATGTACTTAGGTATGTATAACAGAGCAGAGTAGCATATACATAACTTTAAATTGATAAAATTTGAACAAAAAAGTTCCCCCATATTAAGGTTGAGTTAATTTTTTTATACATTATATGCATCATAATATGTATGTAAATATTTAGGTATGTATGTTTAAACATGTATGCTATGAAAGGAAATATGTATGAAATATGAATGGACTACAAATTTGGCCCTGTATTTTAGTTAAAATAATTATAGTAATAATTTATTATTATGAAACATTTTTAACAAGCTCGAGCCCAGCAATTAAATAACACCTGAATATGAGGTCGAAATATTTAATTGCTGGGCCTCGAACTTGTCAAAAATGTTTCATAATTTAAAATTCATCGGCCAACAACAAAAACAAAAAATAATTTGTTATGATAAAATAACCATGTAATTTGGAATGATATAATATGGGATGCAAATAATGACAATAACTTTTTGATAATATATAGTAAACATATAAAGTTTTAAAAGTTGAAAAGAATATGTTAATTCATATGTATGTACATTATTAATATTTATTTATATTAATACAAATTATATATACTTACAAAATATATATATTACATATTTTGTTAGCATATGTATTAACATAAATAAGTGGCAATATGTAGCAATATGTACATACGTATATATATACACGTGTTATTTTGAGCTTCTAAAACTTTATATTAAAAATTATAAATAAGTTATATTCATTATTATTATATTATTCCACATTGCATAAATATTATTATTAAAATTATATGATTATTTTTACACTAAACTATATTATGTACATATTTATATGTATTTATATTAATTATTTTTTCATTAAATATCTTTTTTGCTTAAATCTATTATGACTTAATTCTACGCTCCTCCTGATTCGTTTTTCGAAATCGATGCGCCCTTGTAGTTTGAAAATATCTGCCAAAGTAAAAATACAAGCGAAATTAAATGTTGTTCAATTAGAATTTAATAACAAACATTACCAAAAAGCACCGTGTCGACAATCTTAAGTTTAGACAGGGCCTTTTTACCGCATCTCCCATCCCAGTTAAAAAACTGCAGCACCTCGTCGCTGAATATTCGCCTCACGACAGCATCAATATCCACGCTAGTTCCTTTCAGCAAAAACAAGTAAGAAGTCTGGAAACACAATTGTCGTTTTAAAGAATAAATATGTACATGTAAAAGTATCAATAAATAGGTGAATTAATACTTACAACTGCGTCCTCGTAAATTTTGTCTTGAAGCTTCTCCTCGACATCGAAAACTGCATCAATGGACATGAGGGGCATAATGCCCGCCAGCTCGGTATGAAGGTCATCTCCCGTCTCACCACTAATTTTACATATTATGTGGTGGGCCTTTTTGGCGAGGACTTTCGACTCCCTTAAAGTCTTATGGTGAACCAAGACGTCAGTTTTCGGAACCATCTGAAAGACATACGTATGTACATACATATATAAAAAGATAACTTCAATTAAAAACATAGGATATGCAAAAGTGTAAAATAATAAAT